GGCCTACCATTTTATTGGAGAGATGAGGAACAGGTGGGGCTTGAAAAGGCCCACCTGTTCAAAGTGGGGAATGACAGAAAAAGTTTGAGAACCACTGCCCTAAAGGTTTTGTGAAGCCGCCATTTTATTATCCTCGCATTATTAGCATTAGCCCAGCGCACAGACGCAGAGATACTAAGATATGGCAACACAAAAAAAAACATGGTACCGGTGGAGATGATGAGGTGTCGGCGTTCTGGTGATTTACTCGGAAGGGACTTATTCAGGTTCGATAAGTTCTGATGAACCTTTCTGGGAAAAGTACTGCGGTGTGAAAGCGCCTATAGAAGACCAGTTTTCTAATCTGGAAATTGCCTCATAAAAAGAAAATATATATCTTGAGAGAAGCACATTTTTCCATCATTGCCTTCCTTCAAACTAATGGTTTTATTGATTCCTTCCCACAGTACATCTTCGGGGAGTTCAGCCCTGATGAGATCAATCAGTTCTTCGTGACTCCACGATGTTATGTCGAGGTGAGCAGCCAGATAACAATTTGTTTCAACATTAATAACTCATTGTTACAATGATGGCCATAATGGTTGACCTTATAACTCTGATGGCCTTTACTGGCCAGCAGGAAGAAATGACTCATTTGAAATGTTGTTCACATTTTGACCAACACACTAATCCTAATACACAGATTTGGAACTGCGGCTCTAGGTTGGCCCTGTCAAATGTTTTTACAAATGCTCAAGAAGTAATTTTTAGGCCTTAAATTAGTTATTGCTTATGATTAAATGGTCTATTTTGGTTTTCACCATTTTGAATAGTCCCGATAATCATCTTGCATATTAAACCTCGGTAATCAATGTTTCAAGATAGATCTAAATATAATTCCTTTGATATTTGTATTTGAAAATGTTAAGTCACTATCTCTGGAGGATGTACCTCAAAGGCCCAAAGCTCTTTGATAAAAGTATTTATATTAATGAAAAATAAAATGTAAAGCTCTTCTATCAACAAGATTGCTAAACTTTAAGCACAACATCATTGTTTGATTGACTAGGACTGATATCTTAGAGAATGCTAATTTTATACGGTTGAATTTCTAGATTCCCTTTTCAAACCCTTAACTTTGCATTTTGCCTCCACACAGCTTCCTCCATTCAATGACAAAGTCCCGTGCGTCAGTCAGTCTTCTGGTATGTACACTTTACAATCACTAAATTGCTAGACACTGTCTTTTTTTCCTTTGACATTTTATGAGCATCGAAAGACCATTCTCATGTTTTTATGTTGAAATCACTGTAGTTTTTCAAAGCAGGTCTTAAGATGTAAGATAGAAGCCCAGGCTCAACTGACCTGCCTTGCCTAGCAGGGAGATGCTTTTCATGTGATTATTTTTGAATTTATTAATACATAACAGTTTATATTGTACAGATAGGATTACATATCCTAGTATTTTAAGATTACATCAGCCATTTTCATTCTTTAAATTTCGAACCACCAAATTAGAAATGTAATAGCAGCCACCTGTCTTTGAAATGGTACCCGTTTGCACATGACAATTGCCTTACCTTGATTTGTATTGATTATTTAGGAAGTTACTGCACTCCTGCTGTACCTTATATTATGGAGTCTATGGGACTGCAGGTTTGCGGTGAGTTGAGGAGTCTGACACCCTGTGGCTTGACTAGCTGTTGTACGTTTGCTGTAAACTCAAAATCCAGGTTTCAAAAACTGGTGGCTTTCTAAACCTTACACCTGTATTCTTTCTCTTGCCTGTTGGTAAAATCTGTAGAGCTTTGCATGCTCAAGATACTATAAAGTATCTTATCTTCTCTTGCATATATGCATTTTCACCACTGCAGGGCTCCAAGTTGATTTTAAAACTGAATTTTGTTTGATTTAACAATCACTGCTTAAGGGCATAGTGATGGTTTTCTGTGATTGCTAACATGTGTGTACATATTTAGCCGTGCATTGTTTAGGTTTTTACTACTGAATGCATTTAAAGCCATGAAGTGGGATTTCAGTATCACTAACCGGAGATCTTCTAATCCAAGTTGAAGAAGTTACCACTGTTTTCAAACCCTCCTAACGCCTGCAGAACATCAGGGTTTACAGTCTGGGCCAGCAGTCGGCTGTGTCATAATGCCACTTTGATGATTTTCTGATTTGTACTTACTAATGTTTCCTGTTTGTTCACCTTTTTTAATTTGCACCTCTGCATAATCATTTACTATTTGAGCTTACATGCAACACATTTTAACTAAAAAGTTTTGTAATGATGATAAATATCTGTTTTTGTACATTGTTCTAGATTTTATGTCAATACTAAAAAAAAATGTAATATTAACAGTATGCATTTTGTAAGATGTTTATATAGATGTACATCATAAGGCTTTATCAAAATACATTTATTTATTGAATAAAATAGAGATAATTGAGTTTTCCAAGTAACAGATTAACTCAACTTGAGATAAATTGCCAAACCAGGATATTGTATATTGATCAGATATAATTATCTGAATACATCAAAGTTATGCAGTTCATTTAATGTACTCTTCAATTTACATAAATGTAAGTGTCATTAGAGGTCTTAAATCTACAATAATATACAATTGCACCCTGCCATGACATGTTGGATTAGAAGAAAATGTGTCTATGGTTAGTCTAAAAATAAATTAAAGGTGACAAATGATCCAGGACTAAATACACTAGTCATATCTTTCTAAGTCAGACAAGCAACAACTTAATTAATCGTTGAATCTCCCCACTGTTGGATATGTTGGCCACATTCCTCGGATCCACTCAGGCCAGAGAGAATGTGGCATAGTTGAGCGTAGACGCACAACAGTAGTTGTTGGAGCTAAAAATAGTAGCAGCAGAATTTGTTTCTTCTTATTGGTATGTGATCCTGGCAGAGCTCCCATGACCCCTTTTGGGTGAAGCCTCAGAAATAAGGATTGTATGTCAATTCTTCAATAAAATATTTTTCGAACAAACTCTTTAGCAGAGACTAAACTACAACGATCTCTGTTTGGACATTTTCACGATGTATTTGAAGACAAAGCTTTGTGTTTCTAATTGGTTTTCCTTTTATCTGCAGCAGAAGACTATCAGCGCATAGAGTTTGGTGTTGACGAGGTGATGGACTCCAAGCCCGTCGGGGGGAGCGATACTTTGTTCAAGGTGTCGAGCACCCTCAACCCGCAAGCTCCAGAGTTCATCCTGGGCTGCCAGTCGGCGCAGAAGGCTCAGCAGACGCCTCCTCCAGCAGATGATGTCACTGACGGAGCAGACTACAACTCGCTGGACGGCCCTGACTCGGAGGCCGGCCCTGACTCGGAGGCCGGCCCTGACTCGGAGGCCTCAGCCCTGGACAATCAGGCCTGCCAGGACATCGACGGACCTGGCGGCCTGGGTCAGCGGGAAAAGAAGAAAAAGAAAAAGCGACCGCCTGGGTACTACAACTACCTGGACCCGTCGGCCGGCGGTGGCCACGCGCACGGCCACGGGCACGGCCACGGCCACGGGCACGGCCACGGGCACAGTAGCTGTGCACCAGACGGGTCGCCTGTGGCAGCGCTAGTTAACGGACATGCCATTGGTGGCTCACCGCACAGTGCTGAAGATGTGGACGGTAAGGTGCTTTTGGGGGCTGAACTTTCCACCCCGGCACCGGTTTCCATGGCAACAGCAACAGCTGCTGTGGCAGCAGCCAAGTTTGTCCCCACATCCACTGCCAATCAGAGGACTTGTGATAGCCCTGATGACTCTTCTTTGGACTTAACAATTGGAGCTGCCTCTTTATCAGATGGCAACAATGCAAATTCCTCCTCTTCATCCTCCTCTCAGAGCAGGGGGATCTCAGAGGGGCCGAGGACTGCAGATCAGCAGCCAGATTATTTGGCTCCACAGAGCCCCGAACTTTCACATACTCCCAACAGCCCCCGCTCTAAATCCCCTCTTACTCCTTCAGCTGCTGTGGCCACCCTCTCTGTTGCCACTCCCATTACGACTACTGAACTGGAGGACAGGGAGCTGGCGGACAGCGGGGTGGCCAATGGGTTAGCGGAGGCTGAGGCTCCTGTCAGTGCAGATGAACACAAAGAAGACTCTGAGGCGGGGGAGCCGGCCCAGCCGCTCTCCCCAGACTCTGCTGCCCAGACAGTAGTGACAGAGCAGGCCCAGTCGCCTACCCTTCCAGCTGCACCTACTGCCAACCTCCCCAAATCTTGGGCTAGCCTCTTCAAAAACTCTAAGCCTCTGCCCGGGGGCCCGCAGGCCTTTGTGGAGGTAAAGAATGTTGTGGAAGTTGTGTCTCCCTCCATCGCCACGCCAGAGGAGCCTGAGAAAGTTGGGGAGGTCAAAGTCGGCCCTGTCCACGTTTCAGAGGATCCTATGGCCCCTAAACTTGCAGGTATAATTAGAAGATGGCCCTATAACACCGGTTTCAGCTTTAAGTGCTTTGCATTCTCTCTCCCTCCATTAGGGGGGAATGTTGAGACATCTGTATTGTTTTTACTCTGTGATCCTATGTGGGATTAAGGTTTTAAACATTTTATGTTTTAGAAGAGTAGGTTTGATAAGTGACCAAATTTAAGATTCTGTAGGTTATAATCATATTTAAATATTATCTTTGTTTATTAAGTTTAGGCTGGCTAATAATGTTGGGAATGGTGCAGAAATGTTGCACTCGTGTTCAAGAAATGAACACTAGATGGTAGTATTGCATCCAGAATAGCTGTCAAAAATGAAGTCTTTAGTCACATGTATGGACCCACCTATCTCATTAGCCAAAACTATTGGAGGAAGCATGGGAGTGCTCACACCTTTTTAAACACAGGAATGTTCTCTACACATGTTCTCTGATCTTGTTGGAATTACGATGTCATCTTGTCGATGCAATTGTGATATTTAAAGATCAAGGGAAATAATGTTATACTCTGTTTCTGTGTTGCAAAGCAGCCACACATACTTTAGCTTCAACATTCATTCAAGTGGAAAATGCAAAATTGTTCACAACGGTCCCAGGTGATAAGGTTGTCAGAAAATAGAATTTGACCAATCTAATTGTGGTTTGGTTTCATGTGGAGACGGGTCACTTAGAGTGAATACACAAACAAGTGTAGTTTAAGATCCTTTCTGGGGTCAGTAATTTAAGAGCTTGCAAACAGAAACATTACCCTCCGAAGTATTTTGCTGTGTCTCTGAACTGCTTTTTGTCTCTATGTGCGGCGCTCTATCCTTTTCAGAAGCAATACTTGGAGATGTGTCTGTTTAGAATAACCTGATAATTTTGCATGTATGTACACATTTGGGTTGCTGTACAGTTGTTCTTTCAGAAAACCACTGAAATGTACCAGAGACCATTTGTTAGTCCACCCAAACACATTGGTTTGAGTTCCACTTTGAAAGCAAACCTGTGTAGTCAATAGGGATCACTTTCAGCACACTGTCTCCTTGTTAGCTGTTCAGCCCTTATTGGGTGTTCTAAAACAGTGTGTTTCTTAGGAACCAAGAAACTAGGCTCATTTTGATCTGCAGACACAGATTTCCTCAGCTTCACAACCTTCAGTCGATTCCAGAAATGTTAAAGAACTAGATGTGCATGTATTGAAAGCACCAGTGGGTCATATTGCCCCCCCAAAAATGTATTTGGGAGCATAATGAGACTAAAGACTGTTATCATCAAGGATATTACATAAAGATTTGTCCCAGCTGTTTTGAAGGCTGTGATTTAAGCAGTTTGTATTTGATAGTGTTCAGTCTGATGGTAAGCTAGGTTCATTTATGAAAACATGATGTAAACTATGAACGTACTAACGATTAACTTTGACTGTTCCTTAGATGCATTATTTATATTTCAGTTGTGTAAAACTATGTCCACGTTACCATGGGAGCTGTGTTTCTAAATGACAGTCTCCCTTCCTAGGCGTGGCACAGAAAGTTCACAAGAAAAGAAACAATCAAAAAAGACTCATGTCAGAGTTATTTTGAGAGTGCATACTTTCTGCCTGTGAATATTACAGGAGATCAAAAAGTACATTTAGACAAAATAAATGTTTCTTCTTCTATTCCCGCCTCTTGAGACAACAGCACAAGAGGCTGTGTGAATAAAACAAGAACTTTCTGTGCCACGCCTAGGAAGGGAGACTGTCATTTAGAAACACAGCTCCCATGGTAACGTGGACATAGTTTTACACAACTGAAATATAAATAATGNAAATTCAGAACCGAAGAAAATATATCAAAAAAGATTTAAACATGGACGTTCCCTTCAAGCACTATCTGTTCCAGAGGAAGTGCATTCAAAGAGTGTGATCATTAAAAAATAAACACCACCCTGACACATTGCTATGCAGTGACTGTATCTGATGCAGAGGCAGCGTAGTTTACCTTCTCAGAGAGACTCGACTTGATGAGAGTGAGCAGTCTGTAAATGTAGGTGGGCTCAAAGGGGGACCCAGGCCTAACGTCTTTCATGACTTTTTCACCAACAGCTGTGGGCAGTTACAAATCATACATCAGTGATGCTTACAGAACATGAGTCTAAAAAGTCTTTATACATGTTTTCTAATGGCTTACCTTGCTGTTTGGCTTTAGATGGGACAGGCATGTTGTTAAACTCATTCACCAGCCTGACACTGGGAGAGACACAGAAACCATGGTTATGTTCCCGAGCAAAACAAATGATAGTCATTTGATATCATCGTGCAGAAATGCTACTTACAAGTTGTCCATCATGGGTGTGGAGGTACATGGTCTCTGCGTTTCGTTATGCAGAGGAATGGACTTCATCAGGTGATACATGGGGGGGCATGCAATCAGGGCTTGTAGGGTCTGAGCGTTCAGAGTTAGGGAGGAAAGAACAGAAAACTAAAGGGTATACGACAAGCTGCTGTGATGTGTAATCTGATACCAATGGATGAATACATTATCATTTGAAAACCCGTGAGTTTTTTTTGTTGCTCATAAAATTGATGTCTCGAAATGTTTTTCCCTAGTCTTACTTAATTAAATCATTATTCATAAAGGAACACCAGACATTGATAACATGATGACGTGCCTAGGCAGAGCTGAAACTCACTCCTCAGCAAGTGTTGAAACACACACTAGCTTTCCAGGGACTTGACACCATTTGTCCTCTGTGCTATTGGGCTTATAATCAATATAAGAGCAAGTTCTGTTACCCACAGCCAAAATATACACGTGTTAACAGAGTGTTGAAATGTGCAGGGGCAGCAAAAGGCAGAGTGAAAGGATACAGCGTTGATATAGCACCAGTTTCCCTTGTTGATCAGTCCTCTCGGCTGCAAAGACACTGGTTTATGTATCAACTTCACATTCTCAATAAG